TTTCTTTCTTTCTTTCTTTCTTTCTTTCTTTCTTTCTTTCTTTCTTTTTAATGTTTATTTGTTTGAGAGAGAAAGCACGAACAGGTGAGGGGCAGAGAGAGAGAGAGAGAGAGAGAGAGACAGAATATCCCAAGCAGACTCTTTGCTCTCAACGTAGGGGCCGGATCTGGATCTCCCCATCCGTGAGATCATGACCTCAGCGGAAATCTAGAGCCAGTGGCTTAACCGACTGAGCCACCCAGGCGACCCTTCCTTTTATTTCTTTAGGGTATTTGCTAGGACTTCCACTACGGGAGACAGACAGTACTAGAATAGTGTATAATTTGCATCCTTGCCTTGTTCCTGATCCCAGAGTTATTCTATCATTTCAGCAGTTAAATAGGATGTTTGCTGTAGATGTTTGTAGATAATAATTATTTTTTCCAACTAAAGCTTTTCTCTAATTTTGGTGGGTTAAATTATCACCAATGGATATTAATAGAGATCAGTGACTATTTTGTATCTAAGAGGAATAGTCATGGTTTTCTGTTAATGTGATGATTATATTAATTGAAGATTCAGTTTTTAACCACTAGTCATTTCTTGACGGCACTAATATTTTTATATTACCTTGCATTCATATGTATGAATGAGATCTTGCCTATTTTATTTTGAGTTGTACTTTTCTGGTCTTGGAAACATTCAGGAAAATCGTATTTTCCACCCCTGCAATGGAATTAGGAACCCTTTACTTATTTGGTGAACTTGCCTGTGAAACAATTTGTAATTTATATTTCCTTTGTGGGCATGTTTTAAACTACTGTTTTGTTTAATTAAGGGCTGGTTGTAACCAAGTTTTGTATTTATTTTAGAATGTTGCCAGAAAGGGGCGCCTGGGTGGCTCAGTCGGTTAGGTGACCAACCTCGGCTCAGGTCATGATCTCCCAGTTGGTGAGTTCGAGCCCCGCGTCGCGGGCTCTGTGCTGACAGCTTGGAGCCTGGAGCCTACTTCAGATTCTGTGTCTCCCCATCTCTGTACCCCTCCCCTGCTCATGCTCTGTATCTCTGTCTCTCATTAATAAATAAACATTAAAAAAAAAAAAAAAGAATGTCGCCAGAAAGTTATACTTCTTTTATAAATTCATTCATGTCTGTACATTTTCATATGTTTCCTTTTTTTTTTTTTTTAATTTTTTTTTTCAACGTTTATTTATTTTTGGGACAGAGAGAGACAGAGCATGAACGGGGGAGGGGCAGAGAGAGAGGGAGACACAGAATTGGAACCAGGCTCCAGGCTCTGAGCCATCAGCCCAGAGCCTGACGCGGGGCTCGAACTCACGGACCGCGAGATCGTGACCTGGCTGAAGTCGGACGCTTAACCGACTGCGCCACCCAGGCGCCCCCATATATGTTTCCTTAATATTTTGGTTATATTCTCCCTGCAACATCTGTGGTTGTGACCCATTCATAATTCTATTAAAATTGCTAAAGGTATGTTGATTTCATTAGTTTTCAAAGGGCACATTTTTAGTTTTTATTCTTTTTGTTAAAAAAAATTTTTTTAGCATTTATTTATTTTTGAGAGACAGAGAGTGAGTGGGGGAGGGGCAGAGAGAGAGGGAGACACAGAATCTGAAGCAGGCTCCGGGCTCCGAGTTGTCAGCACAGAGTCTGACATGGGGCTTGAGATCATGACCTGAGCTGAAGTTGGACACTTAACTGACTGAGCCACCCAGACGCCCCTCTTTTTATTCATTTTAAAAAATATCATTAATTTTGTCTTATTTTCATTTTTCTGAACGTTTGTGCTGTTCTTTTTACAACCTTTAATCGTTAGCCCACCATTACTGATTTTTTTTCGTCTGGAGTTGATGATATTTATAAATATATAAGTCATACCAGCTGTGGATTTCCAGTGTTCTCTGAAACACTTCTTTTTTTTTTTTTTTTAAATGTTTATTTATTTAGAGAGAGCGAGCATGAGCGAGAGGGGCAGAAAGGGAGAAAGAGAATCCTAAGCCTGCTCCACGCTTAGCGTCGAGCCCGCATGTGAGGCTTGATCTCACAACTGTGAGATCATGACCTGAGCCAAAATTAAGAGTTGCAAGCTTAACCCACTGAGCCACCCAGGTGCACCTGAAACACTTCTTTTAATTGTCTACTTCTTCCTGCCACAAAAGTAGTCCTGACTCACTAAAGATAAATATGTGTGTGCCTCTCTATCCCTATACTGTGCTGGCTACATTATTATGTATCACGTACCACTACCTGATACGTTTCTCTGTTTATTCCCCTCCTTTAAAAGATTATAACATCCCTGTGCTTCAGGATTTTTCTGTTCTGTTTAGTGCTATATCCCCTGTGACTGTATGTAGTGGGATCAGGGTAAATATTACCTAAGTAAATATGAAATAAAGAAGCAAGAGGTAAGGGCCTTAAGGGAAGTGTCCTTGCTCAAGACAGGAGGCTTAGTCAAGAGAAGGAGCTCACGAAGATAAAACATTTCAGTAGAATACTTCGTTTGTGTACTCTCCAGAGTGCACAGCAGGGTTGCAGGCCAGACTCTGGTAATGTTAGTAATAACAGCCTCATTAACAACTAAATTGTAAGGTCTGTGTTCAGAAATACGCCCATTGGGATTTTAGGCTCTGAAGGAAAATAGGCCTGCATTCACACGCCTGTATATGTAGTATATACGCCCTTTCTGACTGAGTAGCATTGAGTATGTGGTTAATCGATGCTAAGATTTCTCAACTCTAAACTAGTTGTAATATCTGGTTTGCAGAGCTTCTCTGAGAGGAAAGCTCTTGGCAAAGTCATTCTCACATCATGGTTGCTCAAATGGCACATTAGTAATGTAGTAAAGGATGTTGCAGTTTTTACTAGATTTAAAACATACTGCTGGATCCACTGCAAGGACAAAACGGTTGCGTTTTTGTTATTTTAAGTTTGCGTAACAGCTGCAGAGAACGCCGTCGGAGATGACATATTTTGCTAACTTGAGGTGTTCTTGCCCTGCTGCTGCGGTCCTCTGTACAGGTAAATTTAGCAAGAGAGTCAAGCATGGCAGTCTTCACTGCCTCCGACACGTGGAATTGAGTCGGTTGATGCTCCTTCTCAAAAACCAAGTTTCAGAGACCCTGCAGCCCCTGGAGGGAGGATTCGGTGGTCAGAGGCTGGGAAGCAATGCCTGTTAGCCTGCCAGGAGTGCAGAAGAAATGTCGGGAGTGGAGCCCCCAGAAGTTGGATATATAAGTGCTGTTTTGGATTTGACACAGTGTGTATTTTTATGGTTGAAGGCATCGTGTCATAGGTTTTGCTTTTCATTATCATGGGAAAATTGACAGCTAAACTTTTAAAAATTTCAGTTAACTTACAAAATGGGACGTTTAACCTTTTTTTTTTTTTTTTTTTTTTTTTTAATGATCAACACGGACCACAGCAATGGTTTCTAGCTCTAAAGAGTTTCTAGCTCTAGAGGAGATCAGATTACTTCACCTTCTTAGCAGATCAGTGTGTGTTTGGTTGGGTGTCTTGGGGCTGTGTGCGTGTGTGTTTGTTTTGAGGGGCGTGGTCCCTCATAATGGACCTGCCGTAGCATCTCGCCTCGTGAGTTGTGGGGAGATCTGGATTCTCATGTCTTCTTTCTCTTGCTTTCAGCTCTAACTTCTCAGTACTCTGGCTTTCTTCATGAAGGGAACATGAAAGAAGAAAGAGCTGCTGAGTTGCAGAAAAATATGACACAGGTAAGTTGGGGCTAATAATTCGCCAAAAGAATTTTCCATTCCGCCAGGTCATTGACCTCCTAATTGTGTGGAGCAGTGGTCAGCAGTCTGCTTGTCTGTTGGGCCACATAGTAAGTATTTTAGGCTCTGAAGGCTATAGAGTCTCTATTGCAATTGAACTGCCAATTTAGCCTAAAGCAGCCCCAGACGGTACTTAAACAAATGTTTTATTGTGGTCCAGTAAAACTTTATTTACACAAGCAAATAGTAGGCTGGATTTAGCCCATGTGCTATAGTTTGCTGACCCCTGGCCTAGAGGACAAGAAAATATGGCTAGCTGTGGGCCTGACATGAAAGTTGTATTTCTGCAGTCCCCTGGGTCTCAGGTTAGTGAAAAAAAGAAGGGCTCTCTGTTCCTCGGTGTGTTTTTATGCATTTAAACCTCATTCCGATAGGACCCAGTGTTTCATGTTGTGCTCAGTGCTATGGTGGGAAAGAAGGAAGCTGGTGAAATTGTTTCTGTAACAAGTAACTGCTGGTGTCAATGTGGAATTTATTTCATTTCTAGAGCATTTCTCTCATTTCAGCCATATGCTCTGGACTGTTCTGGATTATTATAAGACTGGAATTGGTCACCATCAAACTGTGGAAGAGATAAATTTAACATTTTAGACGTGTAGTTAAATGCGTGAGACAGGATTGGATCAGTTAGGAAGAGAGTTACGGGGAGAGCACAAGATCTGATGGCTGCATTCTGGGGTAGATGTCAGGAGACCATAGTATCTTCAGAACTTACTATGAGTTAGTTAGTTCTCAGTTCCCCAGTATTATAAACCTCATCAGTTCTGCATTTATGGGGAGAGTTGGTACCTTCCTGAAGAGAATATGTGTGGTGTGTTTTAGGACTCAGTGGTCTTTGAGGATGTGGCTGTGGACTTTACCCAGGAGGAGTGGGCTTTGCTGGATCTTGCTCAGAGGAACCTCTACCGAGATGTGATGCTGGAAAACTTCCAGAACCTGGCCTCATTAGGTAAGAGTGGCAACATTCCTTCATTTAGTTGTTGAGAAAACAATTTTACTAATTGACCTTGTTCTAGGATATGGACTGAGGAATTAGAATATAGTGGTAAATACGACAGACACTCACTGACCCCAAGGAACTTGCTGTGTCTAGTGGTTTCTTCATGAAAATAAACATCTGTGTAGTGAACTGTCTTTTTCTTGTGGTTAAAAGTGTTGATGCTTATTACGTGTTGAAAGTGTGGGCATAGACTTCGGGCATCCCTTTGGGTCTTGGGGAGGTTTGTGGTTTCGGTCCTTAGGATAATTTTATTGATGTCAGTGTTCTTTACTCAGAGACTACCAGGAACATACCTGTAAACAAGTGGGGTTTATTACTCAGTGACCTGGGGAGCTGTGGTATGTCTCAGAAAGGTGTTAAAAAGTACATATTATAGGGTTTGTGCTTTGGTTGAGTGATTTGGGGATGGGCCTGTGGAAGCTGGCTGTATTAGTTTCCTAGGCCTTTCATAACAAAGTACCACAAACTGTGGCTAAAAACAGCAGAGACCTATTTCATATTTCTGGAGACTGGAAATATAAGGCCAGACTCCTTTTGAAGGCTCTATGGGAAAATTTCTCCTGTCTCTTCCCAGCTTCTGGTGGTTGCCAGCAATCCTGGGTGTTTCTTGGTACACAGCATATCATTCTTTTTTTTTTTTTTTTTTTTTTTAAGATTTTCTTTTTAAATAATCTCTCCACCCAATGTGGGGCTCAGACCCACAACCCCACGATCAAAAGTTGCATGCTCCACCAACTGAGCCAGCCAGGTGCCCCATGCAGCTCTCTCATTCTAATCTTTGCCTTTTTTTAAAAGAAAATGTTTATTAATTTTTAAGAGAGAGACAGAGCAGGAGCTGGGGAGGTGCAGAGGGAAAGAGGGAAATAGGGTCCAAAGCAGGCTTTGTGCTGACAGCAGAGAGCCCGATGTGGGGCTCGAACTCATGAACTGTGAGATCATGACCTGAGCCAAAGTTGGACATTCAATCGACTGAGCAACCCAGGCGCCCCTCTAATCTTTGCCTTTATCTTCACATGGCCTTTTTCCCTTTTTATGTTAATCCTTATAAGGACACTAGTCAATGGATTGAAGACCCACTTCAATCCAGTGTAACTTCATCTTTACTTGATTATATCTACAAAGACCCTATTTCCAAAGTAACATTCTGAGGTTTCAAGTGAACATGACTTTTTTTTTTTATTTTTAGACAGAACGCACGCTAGTGGGGGAGAGGAAGGGGGGGAGAGGGAGAGGGAGAGAAAATCTTAAGTAGGCTCCATGCTCAGTGAGGAGCCTGACGAGGGGCCTGATCCCATGACCCTGGCTGGGATCATGACCTGAGCTGAAATCAAGAGTCACTTAACCGACTGAGCCACCCAGGTGTCCCTGACATTTTGTTTTAAGACACTTGTTTTTAGAGCAGTTGTAGATTCACAGCAGAATTGAGCAGTAGATGCAGAGATTTCTCATATATGCCCTGCCCCTGTACAGATACAGTGTGTCTTCTGCTATCAACATCTACCAGAGTGGTACATTTGTTACAACTGACAAACCTGAATTGACACATCATCATCACCCTGCATCCATAGTTTACATTAGGATTCACTCTTGGTGTCATACATTATGTGGTTTGGACAAATACGTAATGGTATATATATCAATCATTATAGTATCATACAGAGTGGTTTAACTGCCTTAAAATTCTCTTTGCTTTGTCAGTTCATCTCTTCTTCCCCTCTAACCTGTGGCAGCCACTGATCTTTTTACTGTCTTCATAGTTTTGGCTTTTCCAGAATGTCACGTAGTTGGAATCATATGGACCAAATCGTATCGGTTTTCCCATGGCTTCTTTCACTTAGTAATATGCATTTATGATTCTTCCATGTCTTTTTGTGGCTTGATAGTTCATTTCTTTTTGGTTCCGAATGATATTTCATTGTCTGGATGTACCACAGTTTTAGTTATCCATTCACCCACTGAATGACATCTTTTAAAAAAAAAATTTTTTTTTTTTAACGTTTGTTCATCTTTGAGAAACAGAGAGAGACAGAGCATGAGTGGGGAAGGGGCAGAGAGAGGGAGACACAGAATTGGAAGTAGGCTCCAGGCTCCAAGCTGTCAGCACAGAGCCCGACGCGGGGCTCGAACTCATGAACTGCGAGATCATAACCTGAGCCGAAGTTGGATGCTCAACCGACTGAGCAACCCAGGAGCCCCATGAAGGACATCTTAATTGTTTCGATGCTTGGGCAGTTTTGAATAAAGCTGCGGTAAACCTGTGTGTGCAGGTTTTTGTGTGGACATGTTTTCATCTCCTTTGGGTAAATTCCAAGAAGTGTGATTGCCCTATCATACTATCTTCCAAAGTGGGTGTCCCTATTTGCATTCCCTCCAGCAACAAATGAGAGTTCCTTGCCAGCGTTTGTTGGTGTCAGTGTTCTGGATATTAGCTGTTCTCGTAAGCGTGTGGTAGTATCTCATTGTTTCAATTTGTGTTTTCCTGATGACATTTTGAACTATATTTTCATATGTTTATTTGTCATCTGTATCTCTTCTTTGGTGAGGTGTCTGTTGAGGTTTTTGGCCCGCTTTTTACTCAGGTTGTTTGTTTTCTTATTGTTGAATTTTAAGAGTTCTTTGCTAATGGGGGTGCCTGGCTGGCTTAGTCAGTAGAGCATGTGGCTCTTGATCTCGGGGTTGTGAGTTTGAGTCCCACATGGGTGTAGAGATTACTTAAATAAATAAACTTTAAAAAAATTATTTATTTTGGATAACAGTCCTTTATCAGATGTGTCTTTTCTAGATGTTTTTCTCCCAGTCTGTGGCTTATCTTTTCATTCTCTTGCCAGTATCTTTTGCAGAGCAATACTTTTTTAATTTTAATGTAGTCCAGCTTGTGAATTTCTCTTATGGGTCATGCCTTTGGTGTTGTATCTAAGAAGTCATCTCCAGACCCTAGGTCATCTAGATTTTCTCCTATGTTTTCTTCCAGGTATTTCATAGTTTTGCACTTTACATTTAGGTCTTTGATCCATGTGATCCCTTTTTGAGTTGATTTTTGTGAAAAGTGTAAAAGTCTGTGTCTAGGTTAATTTTTTTCCATGTTGGGGTCTAGTTGTTTCAGTCTTTGTTGAAAAGACTATCTTCTCTATTACCTTTGCTCCTTTGTCAAAGATCAGCTGACTGTGTTTATGTAGGTCTATTTCTGGGCTCTCTGTTCTGTTTCATTGATCTGTTTGGACATAAATTTTCAAGGGACACTGTTCAGTCCACAGGTGGTCACTTTAGATTGGATGCTGACAAAAAGAGGTAGAAATTTTATTACGGAGTAGTGTGTGTGTATTGCGGGGGGGGGGGTCACCCTTAGATTAAATTACATAGTGGCCTTGTTTTGCTTAATTTTATCATGGTCTCAGCATAACCTTGTTTAAGATTGGTATTCTGTGAGATTTTTATATTCAACAGGAGAACAAAGGGTCCTGAGTATCAGACCAGCTTCTAATATTGAAGTTTAGATATGATTGTCACATTGGTTCTAGAAATCAGAAGCTGTGTCATTGTCTCTGTCACTGTCAACCCCCCCTACCGTGCCCCCACTTGAAAAACTTTTTTGACGTCTTGTTGAAATTAAATTTACCTTGCCCATAATTAAAGTATCAGAAGAGCAAAATTTTGACTGTCATGGAAATGTTCATGGTTCGTCATTGTTTTCCATCATGATAAGCCTTTCTGCATTACTAGGGTATCCACTCCACACGCCGTATCTGATCTCCCAGTGGAAACAAGAGGAGGACCTGGAAACAGTGGAAAGAGGACCTATCCAGGGGGAGCACCAGGAAGGCAAGAATCCTTGGGAGAAAATATCCTGGTTGGGGGGATATTACGTTTGGAAAAATCTAATAAAAGCAGAGCAAAATTTTGTTTTGTTTGAGGGGTCTGATCTTCCAGATTCCTTGTTTTGATTTTTTATCAGTATTCTCACAGTATCCTTGTTCTCGGAAAGATCTGTATTTCCTCTTGTAAGTTAGTATTTGGTCATGTGCACTTTATCCGGTTCCTTTGTGTTTTGTTCTCCTAATAATTCCCTATTTGTGTCACTATCAGTCCTAGTCTTCATAGAATTATTTCTTAGTTGCATACCATTTTGACCATTGTGCATATTATTACCAAAGTCCTGAAACAGCCACACTTCCAGAAGTCCTTTGCTTATAGGTGCCTTTACTTTTTTGTTTCAGGTTTTGAGACTCAACTTAAAACTAGAGAATCAGTTACTCCACAAGATACTTATGGACAAAAAATATCCAATGAACAGAAAATAGTTAGATTCAAAAGGAATGATTCTTCGTCATCCATTTTACACAAAAATGGGGAATACCGGGGTATTTATTATCAGAACAAAAACCGTGAGAGACATTTGAGGTAAGTAAGAAAAAGTAGTGTGAGGAGAGGATCTTAAAATGTCATAAAACTTAAAAAAAACATGTATATAGAACTTGGTCAAAAATTGTGAATTCATAAAGAATTTTTCCAAGATTTTTTTTTTTGAAAATTACATTGAGTTCTTCACTATTTGACACATAGTTCAGTTGTAAGCAATTATCAGAAAAATTATATAAGTCAAAACAACTCATTGATAATATTGGCTATGGTAGAGCCCTCTGGGAGAACTTTGAACTTGTAATTTGATGGGGCAGAAAATGTACATAATTCCTGAAAATGGTAAAAATTTATTTACCACTAATAATGTGCTTTTTATTTTTAAAAGAAGCCCCGTGGTGGAGAACATCAATGAATACAGTGAAGAAAATCGGCGTAGACAAACCTTCAGCCAAATCTCACATCTGAATATACTGAAGAGAACTACTGAAGTAAAGTCCTATGAATGCCGCGAGTGTAAAACGGCCTTCACAGATCATTTATCCCTTAAAAATCACATCAGGTCTCACGCTGGAAGCAAACCCTATCAGTGTAAAGAATGTGGGAAAGCTTTTCATTTTCTTGCTTGTTTTAAGAAGCATGTGAAAACTCCCACTGAAGGGAAACCCTATGAATGTAAGGAGTGTATGAAAGTCTTCGCTTGTTCTTCATTCTTTAGGGCACATATGAAGATTCACACTGGAAAGACGAACTATGAATGTAAAGAATGTGGAAAGACCTTTAGCTGTTCTTCATCCCTCACGGAACACAAAAGGATTCATAGTGGAGATAAGCCTTATGAATGTCGGGAATGTGGGAAGGCCTTTAGTTGTTCCTCCTCACTCTCCAAACACAAGAGGATTCATAGTGGAGATAAGCCATATGAATGTAAGGAATGTGGGAAGGCCTTTAGTTCTTCCTCTCACCTTATAATACACATAAGAATTCATACTGGAGAGAAGCCTTACGAATGTAAAGAGTGTGGGAAGGCCTTCAGTGAGTCCTCAAAACTCACTGTCCACGTCAGAACACACACAGGAGACAAACCATATAAATGTAAGGAATGTGGGAAAGCCTACAATTGTCCCTCCTCCTTAAGTATCCACATGAGAAAACACACTGGAGAGAAACCCTATGAATGTCTGGAATGTGGAAAAGCCTTCTATCTTCCCACTTCCCTGAATACACACGTGAAAAATCAAAGTAGAGAGAAACCCTATGAATGTAAGGAATGTGGAAAAGCCTTCAGTTGTCCCTCATCCTTCAGAGCACACGTGAGAGATCACACTGGAAAGATACAATATGAATGTAAGGAATGTGGGAAGGCCTTTAGCCGTTCTTCATCCCTCACGGAACATTTAAGAACTCACAGTGGAGAGAAGCCTTATGAATGTAAGGAATGTGGGAAAGCCTTTATTAGTTCCTCCCACCTTACAGTACATATAAGAACTCACACTGGAGAGAAACCTTATGAATGTAAGAAATGTGGAAAAGCCTTCATTTATCCCTCAGCCCTTAGGATCCACATGAGAACACACACTGGGGAGAAGCCCTATGAATGTAAGGAATGTGGGAAAGCCTTTCGCCATTCTTCATACCTTACTGTCCATGCAAGAATGCACACTGGAGAGAAGCCCTTTGAATGTCTGGAGTGTGGGAAAGCCTTCAGTTGTCCCTCATCCTTTCGAAGACATGTAAGAAGCCACACTGGAGAGAAACCCTATGAATGTAAGGAATGTGGGAAAGCCTTTGTGTGCCCTGCCTACTTTCGAAGACATGTGAAAACTCACAGCAGAGAAAATACATAAATGTCAGAAATATGGGAGTGTCTTCAAGGCATTTTCACATCCTCCGTCTAACGTTGCGGAGATACCCTATGAATGTAAGAAAGCAGGAAGTTGTTGCTTACCTGTTTGAAGACGCGAGAACTCACAGCTGAGAGAAACCTGTGTATGTAAACCTTGTGGTAATACCTTCAGTGAACATCACTTAACTGTGGATAAGGAAACTTAACTAGAAGCGCAGATCAGTGACTCACCTTGAAAGTGGACTGCTGGCTCATTGATTTTCACTTTCTGTTTTCTGGTGTGAATATTTAAAGTGATAAGTTTTCCTCTAATACTTCTTCAGCTCTAACCATGCTTAAATTGTGAGGTACTTTTATTTGGGCTGAGATGTAAATGTTCTTCATAACAAAATCTTTTGGACCCATAAGGGGATTTGAGGTGTTTTTCATAGGCAGGCAGGAGTGTTTTTTTTTTTTTTTTTTAATTAGTTTCTAATTAATGCTCATTGTTCTCCAAGTATATGATCATTATGGTATCAACACTTTGGTATTTGTGATTTCTTTTGTAATTTTTTTCTTGTAATTGGTAGTTTCATTTTGATCCAGCATGGTAGATACTGGAAATTGCCTACTCGGTATTTTTTTCTTTTCTCTTTTTTCTTTTTTCATACTTATTTATTTTGGGGAGAGCGCAAGTAGGGGAGGGGCACAGAGAAGAATAGAGTATCTGAAGCGGGCTTTGTGCTGACCGGCTGACAGCAGTGAGCCCGATGTGGGGCTTGAACCCACAACCCTTGAGATGATGATCTGAGCTGAAGTCAGATGTTTAACGGACTGAGCCACTCAGGTGCTCCTTTTCTTTTTCTTTCTCTTTCTTTTTTTTTTTTTTAACTAAGAACTTCTAGTTTTTGATGTTATCAGTTTTTACTATTAAAAGCTTTTCCTGTCTCATACGCAATTTCAGCAGAAATAAGTGCGAAGTTCTCCAAAGAAGAGTCGCCTCTGATACCTTGTTTTTGTATGTTGTTCTTTGTCCTTACTCAAGGCTGGGAGTTGGACCCAGTGTTTTGAGTTTAAAAAGAGACCATGTGGGGCGCCTGGGTGGCTCAGTCGGTTAAGCGTCCGACTTCAGCTCAGGTCACGATCTCGCGGTCCCTGAGTTCGAGCCCCGCGTCAGGCTCTGGGCTGATGGCTCGGAGCCTGGAGCCTGCTTCCGATTCTGTGTCTCCCTCTCTCTCTGCCCCTCCCCCGTTCATGCTCTGTCTCTCTCTGTCCCCAAAATAAATAAACATTAAAAAAATTTTAAAAATAAAAAAAATAAGAGACCTTGTGAGAAGAAAGCTAGAAGTAAAGTTGGTTGAGCTGATGTGTTGGACATGGTTGGGACTTCATTTCTCAAAATCATTTCCTTCATCCAGTTCCAGGTTAGAGTTGTTGAAAGTAGTTTGCATGAAATGGGAAGGCAGAAGAAGCCATTATTCTTCATTTAGTGGAGCCATCCAATGAAGACAGATGCATAGGGGCCAGGTGGGCTTCAGTTTCCGGCTCATTTTCCTGATTACTGGACCCACCAATCAATTCTAGCTTGAAACAGAACATTATATGTTTTCACTTCAGTAACCTCAGAGACAGCAGCTCTGTAGACCTCTCCATAAGTTCCTCCATCATGGTCATACACAGCTTCTTAGATTTTCTGGCAAGTTCCAGCACTGTCATTTTATACTATAGTCCCTCTGGCACATCAACTGAATATGTAGAATTGGCACCATTTTGGAGCAGGATTGTTCTCTGTGGTCCAATCCATCACATCACTTTGCTCAAGGGGAAAGACAGCTATGTAAATCCCCTGGGACCTCAAGTGAGAAGAGCTGTGGACAGCAGGGAAGATTAGTTATAATTGTAAGCATCAGACAGGGTGTCATCCTATTTTACTGGAGGAACATGTATATTTGACACCTTCAAACATTTTTCTGCTTTTTTGAGAAAGGAGTTCTTTAGTTTATGCTTCTTCAGGTACATTTAGCTATACTTTTCCCTTCCGTTACATTTCCACTTTATTTCTGAAAGTATACCTATGGCACTTTCCCTTTATCATTTTCTGCTCTTTTAGTAAAGCATATATATACCAATATGCATGAAGTGTGCTACTCCTAAGTGTATAACTTGATGAAATTTTTCTTACGTACACACCCTGATAATCAGAACATTCCCAGGATTCCGGAAAGTTTATTTATCTGCCTTGTCAATAATTGTTCCACAAAGGAAACCACAATTTTGACTTTTCATTCAATTTATTAGGTTTGCTTATTCTTGATTTTCTTGATCTTTATCTAAGTGCTTAAATACAATATGTACAATTACGTGTTTGGTTTCTTAGCGTGGTGTCTGGTTTACGTTTTAATTGCTCCTTTCACAGACTTAACACTCATTTCTCTTGATATACGTTTTGTATGTAGGAATGAGATCACTGGGTAGACTTTATCTTTAGTTTCGATAGTTACTGCAGTTTTTCAAAAAGGTAGATTACACCTATCATCCTAAAAGCAATGTGTGGGAATTGCGATTATTCCATTTAGCTGGCCAAACTTTCTAATTTCAGCCATCCAGCAGAGGATATGGTAACATCCTGCTTTGGTTTTAGTTTGCAGTTACCTGATATGTAAGGATGAGAAGTACGTTTTACGTGCTTGTTGGATGCCTTTTATGAGGGCATCCTGTTGAAGCATTTCACCCATGCTTGTTTCCTTTTTTATTTGAAGGGTTTCTAGGTATTTATCCTTGATTGTATGTATGTGTATCTCTGTATCTAAGTACATATACATACATATATAAAACCTTTATATATGTGTGTGTATATATGTTACGTATATTATATATACGTATATTACAAATAACATTTACCAGTCTCTGGCTTCTTTTCACTCTTCTCATTTTTGTAAGCTATAGAGAGTTTATTATCTTGACGAATTCTGTCTGTGTGTCTTGGCTGTGCATTTTTGGGTTAGCTATTCTTCCTGGCAGGCTATTTCTCTCTGCTGTAGGTCCCAGAAGATCCAGGCTCTTTTCTTTCCATGTTGAAGTCTCAGGGAGAAAAGAATCGATGGCCTTTTTGAATAACCCCAATATGTTGATTATAGTAGAATCTGACTGGCTCACTTGCTAATTGTTATCGAGTCACAGTGCAGTGTCCCGATTTGTTTAAGGCAGGCTCCCATGCTCATCCAGAAACCAGAGTCGAGTCTGCACTGAGTCAGAGTCCTGACAATTGTCATGTATACAGAGAGGGGAGGAGGCAGCAGTGGTCAAGTGCGGATATGGGAATAGAGGTAATCTTGTCTGCTAGCATGTTGTGCTTACTGTGGTCTTAGCAATAGTGGGGAACTGAAGTCTGGTAACTCAACAAGGGCTAAGTAATTGTAGAAATCCTTTCATAAAGGTTAGATGCCATCTGTTAACATATCTTTAGATTGCTAAAGATGGCTTCTCAATCTCTATGTTGCTTTGTAGTATGTAGGGAAATCTGGGAGTGAGACACAATTTTTTTATTCTTCATTTGTTTCTATATTTTTAGAATTTCCTTATCAATTTTCACAAATACGCTGAGAGTATGCTTGGAATTGGCATTGACTTGATGCAATAACCTGAATGAAATTGACATCTTTATGATACTGAGTCTTCCAATTGAATATAATATAATCATCCATTTACCAAGGTTGTCTGTAATTTCTCTTAACAGTATTTCATGGTTTAATTGTAGAGGTCTTGAATATTTTTAATTTATTTCTAGGTATGTGGTATGTTTTGCTTTGTAAATATTTTTATTTATTTCCTTTTTGATTTTTCAGCTAGCGTGAATTACAATTTCTTTTTGTACTTTGATCTTTTTATCCAATGACATTCATAAATTAAATTATTATTTGAAATATTATGCAAATAGTTTGTGGATTATTTTGGATTTTCTGTGTATACTATCCTGTCAGTTACGAAAGAAAGTCTTACTTGATTCTCCCCCTCCCTTTTCTTTTTTTAAGTAGGCTCCACGCCCAGTGTGGAGCCCAACGCAGGGATTCAACTCATGACCTTGAGATCAAGAGTTGGATGCTTAACTGACGGAGCCATCCAGGCACCCCAAAACGTCTTAACTTGGTTTCTAAACTTTGTGGGTTTTTTTCTTTTCACCTCATTGCTTTATAATGATGAATAGAAATGATGAATATGAGCATCTTTGTCCTGTTCCTGATCTTAGGGGGAAATGTGCCATATTTCAGAAGTATAATAATAACTATAGTTTTCATAGATTAATTTTATTAATTTATTATTATTTTTTAAATTTATATTTGGGGCGCCTGGGTGGCGCAGTCGGTTAAGCGTCCGACTTCAGCCAGGTCACGATCTCACGGTCCGTGAGTTCGAGCCCCGCGTCAGGCTCTGGGCTGATGGCTCGGAGCCTGGAGCCTGTTTCCGATTCTGTGTCTCCCTCTCTCTCTGTCCCTCCCCCGTTCATGCTCTGTCTCTCTCTGTCCCCAAAAAAATAAATAAACGTTGAAAAAAAAATTTAAAATTTACATTCATTAGTTACCAGATAAGGCAACAATGATTTCAGTAGATTCCTTAATGCCCCTTACCCATTTAGCCCATACCCCCTCCCACAACCCCTCCAATAACCCTCAGTTTGTTCTCCATATTTAAGAGTCTCTTATGTTTTGTCCCCCTCTCTGTTTCTATATGATTTTTGCTTCCCTTCTCATGTCCATCTGTTTTGTATCATAAAGTTCTCATATGAGTGAAGTCATATGATACTTGTTTTTCTCTAATTTTGCTTACCATAATACCTTCTAGTTTCATCCACATAGTTGCGAATGGCAAGATTTCATTCTTTTTGATTGCTGAGTAATACTCCATTGTCTATATATATACCACATCTTCATCCATTCATCTGTCGATGGACATTTGGGCTCTTTTCATACTTTGGTTATTGTTGATAGTGCTGCTATAAACATTGGGGTGCATGTGTCCCTTCAAAACAGCATATCTGTGTCCCTTGGATGAATACCTATTAGTGCAGTGGCTGGGTCAAAGGGTAGTTCTATTTTTAATTTTTTGAGGAAATTCCATACTGTTTTCCAGATTGGCTGCACCAGTTTGCATTCCCACCAGCAGTGCAAGAGAGATCATCTTTCTCTGCATCTCGCCAACAACTCTTGTTGCCTGAGTTGTTAATGTTAGCCATTCTGACAGGTGTGAGGTGGTATCTCATTGTGATTTTGATTTCTATTTTCCTGATGATGAGTCATGTTGACCATTTTTTCATGTGTCAGTTGGCCATGGATGACAAGGCCAAGGATGTCTTCTTTGGAGAAGTGTCTATTCATGTCTTTTGCCCATTTATTCACTGGATTAGTTGTTTTTTGGGTGTTGAGTTTGAGAAGTTCTTAATAGATTTTGGATACTAACCCTTTATCTGATATGTCATTTGCAAATATCTTCTCCCATTCCGTCGGTTGCCTTTTAGTTTTGCTGATGTTTCCTTCACTGTGCAGAAGCTTTTTATTTTGATGAGGTCCCAGTAGTTCATTTTTGCTTTTGTTTCCTTTGCATCTGGAGACGTGTTGAGTAAGAAGTTGCTGCAGCCAAGGTCAAAGAGGTTTTTGCCTGCTTTCTCTTTGAGATTTTGATGGCTTCCTGTCTTATGTTTAGGTCTTTCATCCATTTTGAGTTTATTTTTGTGTATG